GAACTATGCATCGTAGCAAATTATAGTAGACCACTCGTGATCCAAGAAAATCTGGGCACTTTCTCTGATCATTACCATTAACCTGAACGTCAAGCAGCACATAGATTTCTTGACGCAGAGTGCCATCGCAGTCACAACAGTGAGATTGTAGTCAACGTTCGGAAGACCTTTGGAGCACATCTGCCATCTGTTCGCCAGAAAAAACGCATCAATCACCGATTGCAGGCTGATTCCTAGTCTACTTGCGTCGACTTTGAAGCCAAGTTCAATAGCATTAATATTAGACAAATATTAGCAAATGGACAGACTGAGGGTGTTATGTTGAAAGGCAGGTGTGCGATCGAGAACCCGCTGTTCAGTTCAGGAAATCCAAAGGGTCAAAGCAGAGGTTATTCTCCGCCAACTGCACTGAAAATCGAGCGGTTTGGACAATGTCTTCTTCGTCAACGCAGGAGTGTTCAGGTCGCCGGGAAAATGGATAACATTCTTGAAAACCTAGCAACACCTAGTTATACCTAGTAACTACGAGCCCACTTCCGTTAGTAGGTTGAGCGTTGTTCCCGCCGCTCGAATTTCAGTGAAGACTACGGAGAGCCAGAAAGCATTGTAACACTCAATTAATTAGGGTATCAGCTAGCAAGCTGAGTAATTCACAAGCAGAATCTCTGCAATAATCCTGCGCAATAGTTGCTATGTAGTCACCCGATTCATGCAAATAAAACAAAACGTGGTGTTAATGGCAATCCTGGTTCTGCCAGAGTGAAGAGCATGGCTGAAAACTAAAGCGAGAACAATCTAATTCAGTAACGCAGTGGCATGGAGGTTTAACGCGAACGTGCGCTCCATTGCAAGCACGCAGACTTTGCGGATTGTCACGCGCGACGCCGCGTGACCCTGAAGTTCGTCGCTCCCGTCTTACTCGGAGAATCACCTCTCCGAATGACGATTCAGTTCAAAGAGAGCAAATTTGTGGTCATGGGTCGGCTCGTGTCCCATGGCATATTTGTAAACGATCATTAGAGTTTTTTCTACCATCTTAGAGTTTTTTCTACCATCACAAACGTGGTCATAAAGCCCAAGAGGTATGATGCCTGTTCCTCCGGTTACCTACTTCGTAGTTTTTTTGCGAGTCCGGAGATTGAGAACACCCGTTACGAAAAGATTATTCCTCGAAAAACTTCTCAAAGTGATTTCTTTCATGGAAGGCACATCCATAGCGAGAGGACAACTAGTGATCGTTGATCGATAACAAAAGTGGAAGTTTTTGCAATGCTTCAAAATTCAATTGCAGTTGATGTCGCCGCAATGAAGTGGGTGGTGTCAAGAAGTGAGCCCAACCGCTGCTCTTTTCTTCCTAGGGCAAATAGACTGCTAGGGAAGAAGCCGGATTTATTTTGTCCCTCCTAATCCGCGCCAAGTGATTGCCATGATA